CTGAGATTCAAAGGAACATAAGTTTTTGGGAATTGCTAGTGCAGGTATGAGATGGAACTTACACATCCTATTCAGAATCTCCTTGGTGGAGAGCTCGTTTGCGCCATGCAGTCTATGCTCATCCCGGTAATATTTTCTGGTTTGTTACACCCTTGCTGCCTATAATTGCAGTCACATAATATTTGGTTCTTTGTGTCATTTTGCAGGTTCAGAAGCTAAAACTGGACATTGAGAGGTGAGTAAGCAACCTGGTATCTTAGCATAGATGGTTCAATTTCATGGACATTTTAGTTTGTCTCAATGTTCTTACTTCCTTAAAATGCTTGTTTAAATAGGGCAATGCTTGAACTTGATCAGATTCTTCGGGCAAATGAAATCAATTTTGCGATTCTAGCTGCTTTGCCTGCATTCTTTCTATCTCTTATTCTGATCATGTCAGTCCGTGGATGGTTAAAACAGGTAAGCGTCCTGTGCGGTGAATTAGAAGTTTCGTTATTTTCCTTCTAAATATCTAAACACTTCTCTAATTAAAGTATGGAAGGGAAAGATAAATCTTACAACCAAACCAGCAAGTTTAATCAGACAAAAGGCTAAGAGGAAAATGCAACGACTTAGTATTGTGAAGGGAAATTGATTTTTCTTCCAATGATAGTCGTTATTTATGCTATGGTTTTGAGACAAATAGCTTCTTTGTTTCATTTTTCTTCTTCTCTCCCCATCTTTTGGTTCTTGTTGTGTTTTAAACTTCCAGCTAACTATTCTTGTGTTCCACTAGAATCAGCAGTCAAACTTTGAGAATCAGCAAACTTGTTCTCTGGTCTGTTTTCCCTTCTGCAAGGCATCTGATATCTTTTATTTTAATTCAGGATACAAGAGCTGAAGGCAGGGGAAGAGTTGCTTGTATCCAGAGGAGGCTACTTGTTGTGGAGGTTGAGAAAAGGATTACAAAGTACCAATCCTATCTTGACCAGAAGCGTGTAGAAGCTTAATCTGTTCTTAACTCTTTTGATTACAATATATCCCTTTTGCAGTCATCTTTTTCCTTTTAACTGCTCACATAAGAACTGTGTCTTAAAGTTTTATCAAAAAAAGAATTGTGTCCTTTGTTCAAACCTTGACAAGATTTTGATTCTGGATTACTTGATATTAAGACAAAGGCAATTAAGTGCTAAAATCATCCTCCTATCCATTTCTTGGCCATAAACCTTTTCTAATTTGGTTCACATTCCATTACATTACTTAAAAGTTGTTCTACCTTGTTCTTTTGTATGTTAAATTTCCTCTGTTATTTTTTTTTGGGACATCTATGTTATTCCTAATGCATTGTATATATTCTGCTTGCTTTTAAACTGGTTAGATTTTAGGCTGGAACACCTGCAATTGGACTAGGAGCTGCAATTGAGTACTTGTCTGAAATTGGCATGCAGAATATTCATTATTATGAAGTGAGTTCCTTTCTTTTTCCTTTTTTCATGTTTGTGTCTTCTGTCCTTTAACTGCTTGGTAGAAAATATACAGACAGGTTTTAGGCATTCAAGGATCCTTGTGAGGACTGTTGACCATAAAATGCTGCTCAGATTTGCTATTTTAAGAAACAAAAAAGAAGGTGATAAAAACATTGTTCTCAAGTATGCTGTTGTTAATGCTGAAAGAAATCAGTGACAAGGTCAAACGTTTGGCACATTCCAAATGGCTGAAGCTCGTAGTTTTGAGAGAGTTCTGTCAACTTTTAAAATTGTTCTAAAATATGCTGTTGTTAATGCTGAAAGAAATCAGTGGCAAGGTCAAACGTTTTGCACATTCCAAATGGCTAAAGCTCATAATTCTAGATCCATTCTTGAGAGAGTTCTGTCAACTAATTCTGTGGTTTTTGTGATGAATTTAATAGTTTTCATCCCCTAATCATCTTTCCAAGTCATTAAATTACGTCCTTATTCTGATAATGGTTGCAATATTGATCTTATAGATAGAGTTATCAGAATATTTATTTGGCAAACTCTCTTCTGTTCCAAATATTTGAATCTATGGCCCAAAACCTTCAAAGAACGTTCATCATGCTTGTCTTTATTCTTTCAATAGTAGATATTGCAACTTTTCTTGACCGCAGGTAACTGCAAATTACATAATCTCTCAAAGTTGTTTGCTTTTGATCAGATTTGGAATTTTGCATTACATTTTATTTTCTCTTTTTTTAACCATTCCAGGTTTTATTTTGAACGGCATCTACTAACATGTTTAATCTCAGCATAGAATCAGTGCAAGTGCACGTGCTAGTCTTCACTTCAACAATACCAAGGAAGATGTTGATGACTTTATCACGGCAGTCAATGACGCGGTCAGCTTCTTCAATTCTTTTCAAGTAGTCTGTTTCCAGTATTTGATTGTGTTAAAGCTGCTGATGACTCTCTTCCTCCTCCTTTGTAAGAGGTGTTTTCTTTTCACCATTCACTCTGTTACATGCATCTAGGAGCATGTAATACTTGCTTGTAAGCAAGTTTTATCAAATACTTATATTGCCCTACTTTTTTCTTTTTTCTTTTTTTTTTTATAAAGGAAAAAAGGTAAGCTTTTCCGTTCCATGGAAGAAAGCTAAAACCAACTTTTAGCCCCTTACTTTACAAAATTGGTAGGTTTTAGACCTTAACCTTATAATATGATACTTTTAGTCCTTTACCTTACAAAGTTAGTAGGTTTTAGCCCCTTACCTTACAAAGTTGGTAGGTTTTAGTCCCTAATCTTATACTATGACACTTTTAGCCCATTATCTGTATGAATTGAAGAAAATAACCCTCACTTAATATCAGGTTATAATATTCTGTTTGTTTTGTTAGCTGACTGTTAGTTCTGTTAGTTGACTGTTAGCATCCGTTAGCATTCCATTAATGGAACTAACATATAAAATTAAATTTAAATTTCATGTTTTTCTATAATGAAATGCTAACGGATGTTAACAGTCAGCTAACAGAACTAACAGAATGTTATAACTTGATGTTAGGTGATGGTTATTTTCTTCAATTCGTATAGGTGAGGGGCTAAAAATGTTATAATATAAGATGAGAGGTTAAAACCTACTAACTTTATAAGGTGAGGGGTTAAAATCTACCAACTTTGTAAGATAAAGAGCCTAAAGTGTCACGTTATAAGATGAGGGCTAAAATCTAATAACTTTATAAGGTGAGGGTTTAAATGTTGGTTTTTGCCCATGGAAGAACATATCTAAAAAAAAAAAAAAAACAGGTACCCGGTGTTAAATGGCAATGTTATACTTATAATGTTATATAAGATTGTAAATTTACAATTATGAAATAACATTAAATGAGTATTATGTGACTATAAATGAGTGAATGTATATAATATCATAAGTGAATTTTTGAATGAAAAGAATTAATTATATAAAAATACATTACATTGTATACATACAATAGAATGTAACATTGTAATTATAGTATTTTAGAGGGTTAAATGTATTACTAAACTCAAATTGTAGCTGCAAAAAATAGGACACTCTCCTATGAACACTGTGTGCATTGCAGAACTTTTCTTGAAACAGTCTCAAGTTTACCACTTGCCATATGTTGTATATTGTAGCAGCAAAAACAGAACGCATTTTCTTCTTGTGATTAACAGTTCTTGCTCTACCATGTCCCTGCACCCATTTCCGCTCATTGCTACAAGGCATGCGGTCCCTCTCAATCTGTAACCTTTCCAGAACAAGCTTCCAAATACTTGTGGTAAACTCACGCAGTGACACTCAAAGAAGAGTTGCTCAATGCTACCTGTACCTGTATCACAAAAACAGCGTTTCAAGATTCTCAACTCAACTGTCTTACCTCTTGACGCCAACAAGGCTTGCGTCATTGCCCCCTCCGTTTTCATTTCGAAATATGTGTAGTCGAAACAATGCAATCTATGATGTGTTTGCGGCCGTGGTGCCCCTTTACGTAGCCATGATTTTGGGATGGATCATGATACGTATACACCCTAAACCCACACCCCATGCTACACACCACCGGTCCATCTATTAAAATATATTTTCCTCACATTGGTTGGCCTATCATTGGCTTATTCTCTGCTGAATCCCTACCACGTTCAATTCGAATCCGCGGAGAAACAGGCCTGGGTTTTGGGGATTTTCTCTTTCCTTCTTCCTCTTTTTTTTTTTTTCCCCACGTTCTCTTGGAGAACCTAGATTTGGTGTCTCCATAAGAACCCGATCTGGGTTCTCCTGGAGAACGCAGATCAGGTTCTTACCAAGAACCCAGATTGGGTTCTGAAGAAGAACCCACAGGTTCGCTTAGTAAGAACTCGATCTGGGTTCTCTGACTTTAAGCTACGCCACCTGGGTGATTCTCTGTTTTCTGGATTTTTTCTGTTTTCTGGATTTTTTGTGTTTTCTGGACTGGGTTTTTGTGGGTATGATAATGGCGGTGAAGGACGAGTGGGTGATGGTGGCGATGACGGACGACAGGGTGGTGGTGGAGTTGTTGGTCAAGCTGAAGCAGGAGTAGGCGGCGCCACCGGCTCGGAAATCTGCGATGGAGAACCCAGTTACAGCGTTGTTGTTGCAACCCACGATTGGGGCAACAGAACATGAAGATAAGCAGAGGCAGTAATAGAAAATTGAGATTTGTTTTTTCTAAATTTAATTGTGATTTGATTCTTGTAATGAAATTCATAAGATTGTAGAAAATTTTCGTTAATTCATTTCATTTGCAGGTAATTGAAATATGGGTTTGTTTCAAAATGATCAGTTAGAATTATCTTGTGGTGTTAGCTGTTTGGTTTCTGAGAAAATAAAAGAAATAAATGTGAACTGATTTTAATTGTAGAATTATGATATTGCCTAGTTTATCTTTTAATGATTCTTTTTTAATTGCTAGAAGTTCTTGTGATGGTTTTACTGTTTGGTTTATGAGAAAAGAGAGGAAAAAATCAGGGTTGCCTTGTGTTTGGATGCACAAATAGGCCAAAAGTCCGTGAATGGCTGCAGAGTTAAGGATTTAGGGAAATATATTTTATGGAGTGTGCACCGCCGGGTGTTGAACCGGCGGGTGCATACATCATTTTCCTTTTGGGATATGGTTCTGTGAGGTGGTGGAAACTTTTTACACCGGAGCGTTTTGCCGGTATCAACAGTTTCGTGGCCCTTTTTGCTGTTCCTCTGCTTTCTTTCCATTTCATTTAGTCCGACGACGCTTACACCATGAACTTCCATTTCATTGTTGCCGATTCTCTCCAGAAGCTAGTGGTTCTGTTTGCCCTGTTTCTTTGGCAATTCTTCAGCACACGGGGCAGCATCGAGTGGACGATCACTCTCTTCTCCCTCTCCACCATTCCCAACACCCTTGTGGTCGGAATCCCACTTTTGGGAGCCATGTATGGTGACTTTTCGAGCAGTCTCATGGTCCAGATCGTGGTCATGCAGAGCGTTGTTTGGTACACTCTCTTGATCTTCATGTTTGAATACAGGGGAGCAAAGATTCTCCTCAAGGAACAATTCCCTGAAAAAGCAGCCTCCATCGCTTCCAAGTTCCATCCATGTTGATTCCGATGTCACCTCCCTCCGTCACTCTGAGCAATTGCAAGCCAACGCCGAGATCAGTGACGTTGGGAAACTGCATGTGGTGTTGCGTAGATCATCAACTGTGTCGTCATTAAAATCCAAAAATATGTCTCCGACTCCAAGAGCATCCAACCTCACTGGTGTAGACATCTACTCTTTACCCTCGACTAGAGAACCGACGCCGAGGGGTTCTATTTCCAGCTTCAACGAAGCCGAGAGCTTGGGAAGGAGGTGCATTAACGGCGACTTGGGCAACCTTTTTAATCAAAGACGGCACAATTTTGCCACATCTGATACTTATAAATCAGAAATAAGTTCTTGGCCAGGTGTTACAGAAGAAGCTAAGTTTCAAATTAATTGTCTTTTGGGTTTTCTTAATTATGACAAAATTTTTTTCCTTAACCTTAATTTATTGGAATCAGATATGATCCCTCCGGTGACCGGAACTGTACTTAATGACAACAACAGCACAGAGGTTAAGGTTGAGGTTGCATCTGAGTTCCCCGGCGACGCATCCCCTCTGGCTACTAACCAAAATGAAGCCAATTGTGAGGCTAAGGAAGAACTGCATGAGATGCCTCCTGCGGGTGTCATGATAAGGCTTGGTCTTCTAATGGTATGGAGGAAGTTGACAACCAATCTCAATACTTATGCATGTGTTATAGGCTTAGTATGGTCTCTTATATCATTCAGGTAATTAATGTTTCGAGATCCATGTTTGACATAATCAACCTTCTGTTTTTTAATCAATTCATGATGAATTGATTAAAATACTATTAGTACATATATAATTAAGTTTAGATTTTTAATATTAGGTGGAACATGGAAATGCCATCTATCATAAAAGGATCGATAACGATATTATCAAACACAGGTCTTGGAATGGCAATGTTCAGTCTTGGTTAGCATCTTCAGGCAAAAACCCATAAATTGCCCTTCAACTTTTTGAGTGTGTGGAGCTTTACCCCTTACCTTATAATATGTGATTTTATATCCTCCTAATATTTGAGTTTATGATTTTATACCATCATAATATTCGAGTTTATGATGTTATACTCTCCTAAAGTTGTAAGGTGAGAGGTAAAGTTTCACATACTGTAATACTAGAAGGGTATAAAATCATATCAGGAGACAATAAAATCATATATTATAAAGTGAGGGGTAAAGTTTTACACATTTCAAAAGTTAAAGGGCAATCTATCGGGTTTTACCAGCATCTTCAACCCAAATTGAAGTTTCATAGATTTATATATATATGAATTGATGAGTTACTTATAAAGGTAGAAGTTTAATGCAGGCTTGTTCATGGGGTCACAACCTAGCATCGTCTCTTGTGGCAAAAGGTTAGCGATTTTTGCCATGGTCATCAGGTTCTTGGTAGGCCCTGCTGTGATTGCTGCAACTTCTGCCGCTGTAGGTCTTCAAGGCACTCTTCTTCAGGTCGCAATTCTTCAGGTACTTAGTTTTCATACCAACAAACCCCTTATAACCTTAATTAATAAATACTGTGGTTGATAAATATAAGCTTAAAAGATATATTTGTCTTGCCAAATCTTATATATATTAGATTATCTTGTAGTAATTTACATAAAAATTTGAAAAATGATTCAAAAATAATTTTTTTTTTTTTTTTTACATTAACAGGTTAGTTTTTTAATATTACAAAGCTTTAAACATCTGATTTTGATCAAATCAAGATTTTTAAATTAGCAAATATCAATTTAAACAAACTCTTATTAGTTTACAAACAATTTTATTTTATAATATAGTCTTACAATTTTTATGTTATAGTAATTTTAAATATTATTTTTTCATTGATAGAGACTGTGAATAAGTAAATAACATGTGATTAGTGTAATAATTTATTATGAGATTAGGAGCATCTGCATTGGCTTCCATTGTTTAAGAAACTAAGTAGTAACATAGTAACATAATAATACTTAGTAAAGTTTTATTTGATAACACCATCTATAACTGTAATTGTAGGTTTTTTAATCTTTTAATATCTTAAAAATATATTTTATATATTTAATAATTATTTTAATTAATATTTTATATATTTTAAAATAGTAAAAGAAACATAAAAACTAAAAATGTTGTCAAACAAAATTTAAATGTGATAAATTCAATTAATTAATTTATGGAATATATTTTGTCTTTCCAAGCAGCTCTTCCTCAAGCGATTGTCACATTTGTGTTTGCAAAGGAATACAACGTCCATGCTGACATACAAAGCACAGCATAAGAATTTAATTTAATTGATCTTTTATTGAATTAGTTGTTTTGAGGTCATATATATATAATTAATTTTTTGCAGGATCATTTTCGGGTTGCTGATTGCCTTGCCCATAACCATAATCTATTATCTGCTTCTTAGCCAGTAAAAAAGCAATATTATAGTATTGGATAAAGTAATGCACCACTGACAGTGACTCAAGTTGTAGCTGACCACTTTAGTTTTCATATGGTTATGTTGGGGGTTCGAATCATCTCCTCCCTCCCAACTTAGCCTCAATTGCAACAAAAAAAAGTTGATTAATAAATAAATGGTGGTCATATAAAATAATAATGAATTTTTTTTTATCTTGGTTGTAAAATAAGAGGCAATCATCTTTCATCCCTTATTTTATCCCACCTGTATATAATGCGACTTGAATTTAAGATCTCTTATTTTTAGTAAAAGAAAATTATTATTAAACTATTTAAGTCGTTAGTAATAATAATGAAATGTTATTGCCCTTGTTGGCTCTCTACTACAAAGTACAAGCAATCTATATGTTAACCTTTCTCTAATCTAAAGAAATTAATTTGTATTAAATACCATACATTTTTAATGATGTAAGATTTCAATTTTAAAAATTAAAATCAAGAGTAAAGTTAATATTAATAAAGAAAGTTATTTTTTTAATGGTAAGTTATGCGAAGGAGAAATACAAGCACTCATAATTAATTCCTTAAGTAGTTATTGCCCTATAATCAAATTAAATGATCATTTATCAAAATATCTAAACTCAATGTTATTATAGATCATACCTCATAAGTAGTTATTGCCCCTGTGTTAGTTAATTTTGAACAGAAATAAACGGTGATTCAGTAATAGGAAGTAAACTCTATGTTTTATGTTAGTAATTCTAAAGTTCTTAAGAAAATATAATACAAAAATATAAAATTGTCCTTGAAAGGAATATTTTTGGAAAGGTTAGTCTCTTAGTGCATGGTTTTCTTAGGGGAAAAGTGTATACTTAATCCTATAAATCTTATTGTGTGAATTGAATTGGATTCGGACCGCAAGGCAATTGAGGTGGGCTCTGATACTAGAGTCTATAGTTCAATATGGTTTCCTGCTTAGCACTTGTAAAAAAAAAAAAAAAAAACCAAAAAGTTGGGTTTTTTTTTAGAAGGACAATAGGTATAGGTTTGGTTAGATATTTGTTAGAAATTAAAGATTCGATTTTAGATGAGGGTGAGTGCCACCCTTTTCATTGAGGAGCGTGGCTTAATCAGTGAGTTGCATAATGAAGTTCAAAAGTTGTTTATTTATGTGGGTTAAAAAATAAAAATGATCTGTTCTTACTTATCTAACAGTTTAATCTAAGTCTTTTTCACTGTAATAAGAGCTCAATCCTCCCCACCTTCAACCACGTGTCCTAATAGAAAAAAAAAAAAAAGTTGAAAAGGTTACACGGGTTCATGCAAGGACAGAAAGAGAGGGTAAATAATAGGTTAAGGTTTATTATAAACTGATATCATAATAGCAATGATTTATTGATCGAAAAGAAATGAATTTGATTTTTTTTAAATAAGTTTTGGAATTAAATTTTATTAACGAGAAAATATGTAATTTTTTCTTGATTTTATCTCAGTATAATCGAGGTGATTATCAAATATAAAAGAATTAATAGAAAGGATAAACTGGCACCATTAATTAATTAAATATATATGGGAAGGAAAAGTAGTCTGGCTTTCCGCGTTCCTTCGCTTGACTGTCGATACTGCTTCGGTCGGAAGGGGAGTGAGAGGGCGTCGTGGGAGTGTTATTTAGCTCGCGATCGATCTCGAGATGTCTCGCGATCTAAGAATTACTTCTGTATATATCAAGCGGTTAGATGGAAATTTTTTCTTTCAGATCAAATTGTTCAGGTTGAGGCGAAGAAGCCTTTTCATTTTTCCATCTTTTCATATTTATCTTGAGGAAGATTCAGGTATGTGAGGTGTCATTTCTTCTATTATCCTACTGTTTTGTATTGAATTTTTATGATTGGAAATGAAATCAGGTAACCCTAATTAGTAATTTCCTTATATATCGTCTCTGTCACAGGAAGAATTCATGGCAGAGGTTGGAA